TATAAAATACCAGGCTATCAGGTGTTTTCTTATACTCGTCCAATGGGAAGAGGAGGGGGTGTGGCTGTGTTTATAAAAAATAGTTGGTCGGTGGCCGAGTTAAAATTTTCATTCCAACAGGCAGAAGTAGTTACGCAGCACTTAAGCACTCCTTTGTTATCCCTGGTCCTTTTCTCAATCTATCGTCCCCCGTGCTGTAATGCACGGTTATTTCTGGCCGAATTAGATTTAGCTTTGTCCACTCTTTCATCTGAAGAGCTTGTATGTGTAAACGGCGATATTAATATCGACTTACTTCGTCCCACAGTGACCATAGTCGCAGACTATCTTGATGTTTTGTCTAAATGGGGCCTAAAAGCAACAATTCAGAAGGCAACACGGGAGGAATTTATCTCTGGCCAGTTGGTGGTATCTAACATTGATCATATAAACGTACGAGCACAAAACGTAGTAATTCAGTCTGCAATTATTGAAACGAAACTTGCTGATCATTATTTTGTCTGTTGTTCATTAACACTGATATCTAAGCCATTGACTTATGTTGGCGCTGTGAGGGAGTTGTCAATAGTTGATCCCAGGCACTTCGATAAACTTGTGGAGCAACATGACTGGAATACTTTTCTTCTAACTACATCTCCAGCTGACGGTTATGAACAGTTTGTAGCTCAGTTTAACCTTTTTAAAAAGGCGGCTACACGCACTGTAAAAATTAAACATCGTAACATAGACCAGAAATGGATGTCTTCAGAAATATTGGCAGCCATCAAAGAAAAAGATCTTTTATGGGCACAGTCAAAACGCTCCCCCGGTAACACTATGCTACGATTGAAATTTAAGCAATACAGAAATAAGGTTAATGCCATGATTCGTCAGGCCAAACGCATGCACTTTAGAAATAAATTTAAGGACGCTCGTTCGGATATAAAAAAAACTTGGCCGCTCATCAACGATCTCCATGGTACGAAGAAGTGCACTAAAAGCAATGATAGCTACCTTCTTTCGCAATTCTCTACTGATGCACAGAGTATTGCTAATGAATTTAACAATTTTTTCTCTCAAGTATCAGGCATTGCAGGGCAACACCCAGTTTCATGTACCTTAAACAAAAGTGTCTTAGACTCGGCTTATCTTCCTCTTCTCTCTGAAGAAGAGCTTAGGTCCATCCTTTTTAGCCTTAAGCCCAATAAATCTCCAGGTATCGACGGTATTTCAGTTAATGACTTGCGCAGAAACTTTGAAGGGATTAGGGCTGTTCTACTTTCGATTTTTAATCACATAATATCTAATGGTATCATTCCATTAGCAATGAAAACAGCTTTCGTGATTCCATTATTCAAGGGAGGCGCGCGAAATAACGTAGAACATTATAGACCTATTTCCATTCTGTCTTGCTTTGATAAAATCCTGGAAAAACATATGTGGATAACTATGAATAGCTTTTTAGATAAACACAGTTTACTATCTCCTTATCAGTACGGATTCACACAAGGCCGAGGTACTCAAATGCTCCTTGAGGACTTTTCTGACATGCTCAATTTATCTTTTGAACGGAATCAAGTTGCCTGCGCACTGTTCCTTGATGTCCGCAAGGCATTTGACAGTGTTAACCATCACGTTTTGATAACAAAGCTTTCAAAGTTAGGCTTTCGAGGTTCTTTTTTAAGTTTAGTGGAAAACTTTCTACAGGATAGGCGTCAATGTGTTTCATTTGGAGGGTATCAAAGCGGATTCTTTTCAATCAAAGCGGGTGTCCCCCAGAGCTCGGTTTTTAGTCCACTGTTATATAATCTTTATGTTAATGACCTCTCCATGGTGGTACCAGTTTCGCTATTTCAATATGCTGACGACACCGTTATTTTATCTAGAGCGTCCAATTATTCAGATGCCTTTTCGTCTTTGCAAACTGCGGCAATTAAAACTATGGACTGGTTTGAAGCTAATTTAATTAAAGTTAATGCATCCAAAACGCAGCTAATATGTTTCCACAACCCTTTGAAAAAAGTTAATATGACCTGCTCTTTACGATTACATACGTCCAGGTGCCTATCATGTGCATGTGAGCCTATACAGCATATATCTTCTATAAAATATCTTGGCCTATTCTTTGACAGTGACCTAGCCTGGAACACTCATCTTGCTCATGTGTGTAAGAAAATTCGTGCAGTGTCTTGTTTGCTATACAACATGAGATATTTTATGCCACTATCCGTTCGAAAAATTGTTGTACATGCTCTTGTTTACAGTGTGCTCCGTTACGGTATTACCGTGTATGGTCATTGTGCTCTGCGTTGGCAAATTAGAATTAATTCAATTCTGCATTCTTTGCTAAAGAACATTTCCTATGATTTATACCTTGATAGGGACATTGATGTGTTTAAAGCACTGCATTTGCCTGATTTTAACTCGCTCTTGATGGAAACTGTTGTTCACAGGCATTTTTGGGATAGTCAATTTAAAGTTCCATATGTCCCTTCTCGTATTCTTAGACCCAAAGAGCGTTACCGGATACCTCGATGTTCGACAAGATTTGGAAAAAGAGCTCGGAGTTACTATGTACCAGCATTTATGAACAAACTACCTTCTAGTATTCTAAATTTAAGAACAAAATACAAGCTCAAGAAAACCCTGAGAAATTTTAGATCGTAAAGTGCTCACTAGTTTGCTTTTGTTATTCTGATTTTTTGTGTGGATTTTATTTTACATGTTTCCTTTTGCAAACGGCATGGTTTCACTGATTTTAAGACGCTGCCAGTCAAGCCCAATGTGGCTTAGGCAGGTCAGACTTAACATACGTTATGTTCATTTGCAATAAAATTATTATTATTATTATTATTAATTAATAACTGGAGATCATATATCAAAATAAAAATGGTGTTTGTCTACATGAAGACAAGATGAAAAAGCGCCAAATTTTAAGTACTTTCGGTTTCGACCCTTCGGGCCGGCCACGCGGTTTGTCGAGTTGCCTGGCCAGGGCTGCGCCAGCAGTTTATAAAAAATGTCATTCAGTCGTCTTCCGCACCACGATCACGCAAAGAAGTAGTCGCGACAATACCATGCTCAGGAAGTCTTGGCTTTTTTGTGAGTTCGAGGAGTTGATAAAATTGTTTTGCCAGTCAATACATGACATCAGGCACGTAGCCAGGATTTTGTTTTGGGGGGGGGGGGGGGGGGCGCCCATGACAAAATGCTGTATGAGGGGGAGGGGGGAGAGGAGGGTCCTAGCAAAATGGAAGATTTCGGGGGGGGGGGGGGGGGGGGGGCGGGTTCCATGGGCCTCCCCCCTGGCTACGTGCCTGCATGACATATTAAAGTCACCTATAGGATAAGAACATTTCCATTTATGCTGCGCAATGCCGTCTCGAGCCTATAGCTAAATTAGCCGAGAAAGAAGCGGGGTCTGTTTGGGGAGGTATGTAAAATTACTTATAAACATATTCTTAGCTTCGTTAGTCTGAATTTCAATCCAAATTGATTCGTAAAAAACCTCCAAATTGGGCCTGCTACGAGTCACCATATTTTCCTTTACGGCTACCAATGCGCCGCCACCTCAACGCTTTTGAGTGGTCTCATATTCCCGATCTCTTCGATATACATGGGCGTACCAACCGGGGGGCAAGGGGGGGCGCTTGCTCCCCCAGTTTTCAGAGGGGGGGGGGGGGGGGGCGGCAGGGCATGTGTTTTTGCCCCCCCCCCCCCCCCCCCCCCCCCCCCCCCTGAAACAGCCGCCACTGGGCAGGGCAAACACACTGGCCGGCGGCGGCCAATGAATACCAAGGGCATCGCCTCCCGGCCCCGGGGGGGAGGGGGGGGGGGGAAGTTGCTGTCTGGTTTGCCCCCTCACTCAAAAACAAGTTGGTACGCCGCTGTCGATATGCCTTAAATGAGGGCGAAAAATAATCCGTGCTTGCAATTTCAGATCCAAGTCATGTTTCGCCGATACAAATAATGGAATAGCAAAAAGTTAGAAAAGAACCCCTGTGCTTTCGCAGTCCCCGTACGTTTTGGTAGTGGATATCCGTGAGGTTGGGGTCTCACTCTCTACGTTCACACTCATCATACACGCGGCTTTCAGTCAGCCGGCCCTGGAATTTTCAGAAAGGGCAGCGCTCCTGCCAAATGTTCGGGTCGAACAATGCCTCAATGCCGTCGTCCACAGCACCGACGTGGAATGAAGGGTACCCCCACCATACCGTGTCTTCAGCGTTGTGCATCGAAACTCCCTTAGGTAAAAAAATTGACCGGGATGTTATCTGACGTCTGCCGAGGAACAGGTGGCGTCCAACGTGTCACGAAAATCTCACTGGAATGTCGCACAGACTCCGATGCGGCGGTAATCCCTCCATTCTGAGAGCTTCCCCTGGAGAATGGCAGCTGGGGACTGGAGCCCGGAGGAACAAAGTCCAGGGACCCTTCTCGCTGTTATGATGTCATGAGGCTTTCTGATCTTAGAAGAAGAGGACATCCAGTGAGTACGCTCGCAGGAGGTGGCACGCCCTGTTGCGTTTGGAGTTGACGAGCATTCGCCATAGCTGCCGCTTTGATCCCGTATGTATTTATTAAACAGTTTGCTTAAACCGTCCTCCTCAGCTTAACTAGCAACATAACATGGTGTCAGAAGTGGTGAGCAGCTCAACGTCCATATTTTAAATTTAACAAGCAACAGCGACAACAATATGGCATCTGCTTTCCTACAACCGCCGGCTCCGTTCCATCCTGGTGACGACCCAGCAAGAGCATGGGAGGAGTGGAAGTCATCGTACCTTATCTTCGAGGCAGCCTGTGAATATGGATCGAAGCCTATCGCAACTCGGAAAGCTTTTCTGCTCCACTGCCTTGGACCTCAGGCAAGACGAATTACGCAAACCTTTTCTCTGCAACCAACAGAAGATGGTCAAAGCGGGCAAAGAGAGAATGCAGTAGATTACATACTGCACGAATTCGATAAACTGTATGCACCTTACAAAAGCGTGACACAAGCAACAGCCATTTTTAACACAATGTGCCAAAAGCCAGAACAAACCATTGACGAATTTGTAACTGAGCTAAAACTGCAGGCTCAGAAATGCGACTACGGAGCTCAAGAAAACAGGCTCATTGGTGATCGTATCATCATTGGGATACGAGACGTGGCTTTGCGCGAACGGTTGCTTCGTGAACCGAGTCTTACCCTAGACAAAATCATTTCAACCTGTAAAGCAGCTGAAATCTCAAAAAAACACATGAATGATATTCAGAAAACTGAAGACGAAGTTAGAGTTGATGGACTCTATCGTCAGCCATCTAGCTTCAGAGCAGCGCAACGAAGTTACCGACTATCCGGACCACAAAAAGACCAATCCAGCAACCGACAGCAAATTTCATGTTCGAGATGTGGTACTTACCATCAACCCCGAAACTGCCCAGCTTACGGAAAGCACTGCCTTTCGTGTGGAAATTATGGACATTTTTTCCGAATGTGCAGCCAGACACAGCAGAAAACCTACGGATATCGACGTGTTTCTGCAGTAGAAGAAACTTCCAACTCATCCCTGAACAATGACCGCAATGAAACGATCCATTTGGGAGGCATAACAATTGGGCCTCTTCCATCAACCAAAGCAACCAAGTTTGCGCAAACTGGGACAGAGCTGGAGAGGCGGTCAAAGAAAAAAAAGGGCATGCTGGCATCTCGCCCCGAAGAGGGACAAGGCCTGATTTCAGAGTTGGTGTTGGCAACGGCAGAAATGCAGCGAATGTCTTTGGAGCACGACAGAAATATCGAAGCGAGCTTTGGCCGTGAGCAGGCCCTTCAACGCGAGTGCAAGGCAGCTTCGGCTCTCCTGGGGAAGATGCAAGCGCAGCAAGCAGAATTTTCTCATGCCAAGTATCAGGAGTCTGAAGCATTGAAAGCCCAGTTAGTTTCTCTAAGTGGGGATTTGTCAAAGCAGCTGGAGCTTGTAGATGCCAAGGTGGAGGAAGCGAACACCCTGAAGGAGAAGTTTGAAGCATCTCAGCTTGAGCTCGAACGGTTTTCTGCCGAGTACTGCATCTTGCAGGATGTCCTTCTTCAAGACTGTGGCGAGGACCTGCCGCTAGTTCAGAATGATTCCGAACAACGAGAGTTCAGTGCCTTTCAGTACCTCAAGAAGCTGCTAGACATCGCAAAACGCAAGAGAGAGGCCCTGGAAAACCAGCTTGCTAAAAAAGAGGAGCAGTTCAATATACTTCAGCAAAACTATCAGTACTTAAAGGACCGGTACCAGTGGCCGTTAGAAGATCTCGGGGCATTCGTCCGGAGCATCATCGAAGCATTTGTCCGGAGCATCATCGAGCGCACCAACCAGTCGTCAGAAGCTGCAGTGTCTCTTGAAGCAAGTCAGCTGGAAGACTTGAACCGTATGCTGGCAGTGCTTCAGGAACGGGTCACATCCTTGACAGTTAGGAACGAGCTCCTCGCTCAAGAAAGTCAGCAGTGGAAATCATCTTGTAAAGATGCGAGTGAAAAAATTAGATGCCTGTCTAATGAAAGTCACCTCCGGCAGCAGAGACACGAAAAGGTGGCGGAGACTTTGAGAGAGAGAGAGAGAGAGAGAATGCTGTTAAGTGTAACAATTCGTCGCAAGCGGAAGCAGACGGAAGCTCCTTTACCGAGAAGGCAGAAACAGAGTGCGAGAGGTTAGACGAGAAAGTCAGCAGCCTCCTAAAACGCAACGGAAAGCTAGAAAGCGAAGCCGACATTTTGTGGTCAGAACTTTCCTGCCTGGAGGAGCAAGCTGAGATGCTCATCAGCGACAACAAACATTTTCAACAGCTAGCTGAGAACTTAAAACAGGCACGACAATGCCTCGAGGAGGAGTTGAAGACTCAGCGCGAGCAGCACGTCAAGGCCACCAAGGAGATGGAGAAAGAGCACTGCACTGCGCTGGACGAAGCGGCCAAGTGTGAGGCAGCACTATCAGCGCTGAAGACAGACCACTCCCAGCTGTCGGATAACTATAACCACATTGTATACAGACACAGGAACCTGCAGGAAGAGTTTCACGCGGCAGCCCAAGTGAAACGCAGTTGGGAGGACAGGTGCGCTCAGCTCACAAAAGAGTGGGCAACAGCCAGACGAGATATCGCAGTCTTCGCGGAGCAGCAGGGCGCCGTGGGACAAAAGACCATGCAGGAGCTGCAAGAGCTGTGGCAAGCAAATCAGCAGTTGCAAGAACGCTTTCGCCTGCTCAAAGACAAGCATCTCAATGCTGAAGAACGGTTGGTACAGGCGCCAAACCAAAAAGTGGAGGCCTCGATGGAACATGTCACCGAGGGCACAGGGGGTACAGCGAGAACTTTGGAGGCACCAGCAAGCCGAGTCGAAATAGAGGAACTCTTCCGGTGGTACGAGTCCCTTTTGAAACAGTCTCGTGCCGAGGAGAACAAGTGAAACCAGGACAAGCAGCAGCAGAAACACATCGAGGACTTACAGGCGCAACCGGTACCACACCAAAGAAGCACATGGAACAGCAGAAACGAATACAGCTGCTGAAAACTATTTCCCTACAGTCTCAAACGAAGCTGCTGAAGATTATGTCCTTACAGTTCCAAATGGCGAATCACTTGAGCACATTTCCACGTCTACAAGGTCAACATGTGATAACCAAAAAAACAAGAAGTCGACGAGTTGTGGTGAAGCCGCTATGATACAGAGACTGACGAGTGCCGCGATCGCACTGCGTTATCTTCAAAAAAAAAGAAAAGAAGAAGGGGGGCGTGTTATGATGTCATGAGGCTTTCTGATCTTAGAAGAAGAGGACATCCAGTGAGTACGCTCGCAGGAGGTGGCACGCGCTGTTGCGTTTGGAACTGACGAGCATTCGCCATAGCTGCCGCTTTGATCCCGTATGTATTTATTAAGCAGTTTGCTTAAACCGTCCTCCTCAGCTTAACTAGCAACATAACACTCGCACTGTTCTCCGTCAAGCCAGGCGGAGCCGTTGAGTTGCCACGGGCTAGTGGACCGGTGAGATCAAAACCCACAAATCGTAAAAATGGAGTGGAGTTGCCTTTAATGCCCTAGAAACCTTCGGCCATCCAGGTGACTTCGGTAATTTTGCAGAAGGGCTCGAACGCCTTGCGTACTGCGTTGTTCGACACATGGGATGGGACCCAATGAACCTTAAGGCTGCTGTCCCACGGCAGCCAGCCATCTTGAACAAGGCGTTAGTTCAACCAATAGATGGCGACACGCACCCGTGGGGTGGCCAAAACATTGGTTCAGAGTGGGATGGCTCGAGCACCATCACGTGCCCCTCGTGGCCTTGCTCGCGCCGCTGCCAGCTGTGCTCAGCTAGCTCAACTAGCGTGGCCCAGCAAACGAATGTATGCGAGAATGTCAGGCTGGGTAGAAATTGTTCTCTGATATAGGGAGATGCGGTTCGGCGGTTGTAACGGGCTTTCGCAATAAATCTTACCAAGAAGGATTCAACTGTTGATTGACGTGTTAATATTCTATCAATGAAAATTTCTTCTGCAGGAATGCACGCTCAGTAGACTCAATCTTCCAAGAAACCAGTGGAAGCGGACGTCAAGTAGACTGCTTCGCGATTTACGGTACTTACCTCACCATTTTAATGACGACTAAAATAACGTCACGAAATATTGTGTTTCACGGGGTTCGGAAGATGTTGTAAACGTTGTTACATTATGGGGGGGGGGGGGGGGGGGGGGGGGGGGGTTCCCAGAAAACAAACGCCGTTGCAATATTTTCGGAAGTACCGACACACATAATGTTGTAAGTACAGCTTAGGAGGAATATGATGAAAACCATCAGAAGATATGGGAAGACGTTTATTTGCAATGAAGACGCTATGAATGAACGGCGTTTAGCGACGGCAAGTCATGAGCGTTCGAGAATTTATAAGTTCACGTGAGTGCTAGCTATGGACATGCGTTTTTGTTGGGGGATGGTGTTGCGGTGATGACCTGATATCAGACGACTCGCGGCAGACGAACAAGCAAGTTTCTTCTCAGCGAATGGTAAGTGTCCAGTGTCAAGCACAACTCGTGGCTACCGACGGTGTCGACGTTTCGAACACTTACCGCTTTCGACAAAAGTCCTGGCACCTGGGCTAACTTTCTGCAAAGACTCGAAGTCTTCTTTGAGTCCAACGCCATCATGAACAGTAACTGAAAACGATCCACTATTCAATCGGTGGGTGGCGAAACGTATCCGCATCTGCGGAGTCATGGGCAATGCGTACTCTAAGTGGCTGGAAGTTTATACGATGAGTGCCACGACGTCCAAACACGTCATTGATACGGTCTCTTTTTTACCTACTTTTGCCCTACCGAAAATACTTTTCTCTGATAACGCGCCAAATCTTGCTTCAAACAAAATAAACAAGTTTTTGAAGAAAAAAACCGGCATCAGGCATCACATTAGTGCACCATACCTTCCTGCAACTAGCGGGCATGCAGAACAGATGTTGTGCGAAACAAAAAAAAAAAAAAGCCCTTTTGAAGCTTACGGAAGAACCAGTTCAGTGAACAATCGCCAGATTGTTGTTCCAGCAGCACGCGACGGTCTCATCTTACACGTAAAAACACCCGCCGAAGCAATGTTCGGCGGACGAAGAGCCACATCCCTCGATCTCATGATACTATGGCTTACGAACGAAGATCGATAGATTCCCAGATCGGGAGGGGGGGGGGGGGGGGGGTAATTGCAGTTTATTCGATCGGACAACTCGTCTACGTAAGGAATTTCAGCGGAAGTCGGGCCTTCCATGTAAAACTTGAGTAGAAAAGGCTCTATGTTGGTTGACCGGAAGATGTCATCCCTCTGAATAAGTTGGATATCAATGCCCTTGAGTGTAAATATAACTAAATCACAAAACTCTCTTTGTGTATTGGGTAACTGCCATGGTATTTGATAGTAGAAGCTATGGTGGGTGATTTGGACCTTACACACCAGGCTACTTTTTTTATTTTTCGCCTCATACTCTTTCGCGGTTTAAGTGTGCTTCAAGAATCTTTTGGAACAGGGACACTTTACGCCAACGAGACCATTTGTTCCAAGTAGTCAATCAGGGAATTCTGCTAGAAATCCGTCCCTCCTATTAACGAATAAGCCGCACTTCTGCACAGTGCAGTTTTCCTGTTCCACGTACAGTTTTAAAGCAGCATCCTCATTGATTCTACCATATTCTGTTGCGGGTGGAGAAAGTCTTTGGGTACACGACGCTTGAAACAAGTCTGGCACTGTACATTGTGGTTCGACACCCACTAATGTCGTCGTCCTTATAGAACCTCATCATTTAATCATTACCTCGTCACCTCATATTGCTCTTCATCAACAGTAAGTACAATAAGCTACCGCCATATTACAATCCAAGAATTGAAAAACTGTATCGTTCAGTCCTTCAACAAGTTTATTATTCATATAATGTTATTACGTTACATTACCTCGAGACGATCGACGTCCATCGTCGATCTTCAAATACTTATACTTGTATATAAATTAGACGCACAAGGGGGGGGGGGGGGGGGGGGGGTCGGTGGCCGAGTGCATGGTCTAGCACACACCAGCTCGGAGCACTTGGAGCGCGAAAGCTCGCGCTGCAGAAGCCACCACGCCCCTGTCCGTTTCGATCTGGAAGAGCATCGTACCGGCGTGCGGTCGTGTATTACTACTGCGTGGTGCACGTTAAAGACCCCAGGTTTGCGGTTGTACCGCACTGGCTAAATTGCTCATCTACAGCTGAGAGTCAGACGCCCACTATGGCGGACTAACTTCCGGCTGTATAAACATACATACAACAATTTGCAATTAGACGCATAATAACAAAGAGCACAGCGTGCCGCCTCTTTTCTTAGGATGCCTTTTTTTAAACCAGCGCAAGCTCGGGCGTTCTCTCTTTTGAGACGGTTAGAACGGTCGCACATAAAACCCGCATTTCTCCTGCCCGGCCGCTCCTCTCATTATGTGTAGTTGGTTATAACTAAATAAGCTATAATAATGGTGTATTGTTCATATTTACTTTCAGTTTCGGTCAGGGAAAAGGATTCGCGGGAACTAGAGCAAATAAATTAACTGCGCTTAGAGTATCGGCACTCTTTTCCCCGACAGTTTTGTGAACGCCAACATTCTGGTGCTTGTGCAGAGCAGGCGCAACTGTCGATCGTCATGATTCAAAAGTGCGACATCCTCAGCATTAGATTCGGTGTTAGGAAGCTCATGTAATTTTGCTTTGCTTTGTCGCACACTGTTTAAAGTAGAGGACGGAAAAGCGTTTTTTGTGATTTCAGATAAAGCTTCAAATACCTGGCAACCATGATTTTAAGCCACAATATGGCCAAGCGTCGCTACTCTGACGCGTAGCCTATTTAATGACACTATTCATGCTCTTGTTCAAGAGGCTTGTAATACCTGGCGGGGCCATGACGTAAGCCCCGTGGATTTCACAAGCCACTACCTTTTGACACCTGCCTCTTCCTTATTGTTCCCGCTTGTGCCAGTAAATTGGCTACGGTTCAGACTAACGACACTTGGCCATATTTTGGCTTAAAATCATGGTAGCCAGTTACCTGAAGCATTATCTAAAATCACAGGAAACGCTTTTCCGTCCCCCACAAATGTTTAAACAACCCGCGACAAAGCATTGCAATATTGCATCAGCTTCCTAGCGCCGCATCTAATGCTGAGGAAGTTGTACTTTTGGATCATGACGATCGGCAGTTGCGTTTGCTCTGAACAAGACCCGAAATGGCGGCGCCCAAAACAATTTCGGGGAACGGAGTGCCGATACTTAAAGCTCATTTAGTGACTCCAGGCATGAAGTGAACTCGGGTGTATTATTTTCCTCTTCGTCTTTATTGTTTATTGATTTCAATCATATCGAATAATGAACACATTATATCACGCTACGCGTGTGTAATTATTTGTCTTAGATTTATTAACCTGACCCAGCACTTAAACCATTCATTTATCGATAGTAAATCTTCGAATATATTTTTTTTTTAAATGTGAAGGTAAAAAGACACGGAGATTGATGATGATAAAGACGCCAACGCCGCCCTCGGAAATTTTTTGAACACTAGAAATCAGCAGTTTGTCTGGCATCCGCCAGGTAGCGCAACAAAACACCCAAACAGTTTTTAATTGTTTTTAAATTTAGCTAAGCTCTACACCAATTAAGAAACCAAAGCAAGATCATTGTGAAAATTAAATACATCACAATGTATATCTATTCCAAACAATAAATGTTATTAGATGCCAATAAATCTGTTTGATGTCCAAAAAAGATATGCGTCAAAAACAGGTAAGTTTGAAGGGCTCCTGGAGCGTTATGACTTCGAAAATTAAAAAAGCCATCGTCCACCTCTTGGGCAACCATTATAGCTCTAAATGTTATAAAAGATTTTATGATAGTTTAATTATTTCCT